GTTAGTCCTAATTTTTATATTATAGAAAGCCATGGGAAGGCCAATTACTGAGTGGATAAAGATGAAATTTAGATTGAAAAAATTACAAATTTCGTTTTGTTAATGCATTATGTTCATCGAGTCACGTCCAATTCAGTCGAAAAATCACCTATTTGATTTTCAGCTGAAACATGAAATGATTTTTATATTTTGTTAACATTATCAAATATTAATCAACAATTTGAAATTCTTTTCAGGTAACTGCCACCGCCATGATTTTTTTGTATTAGTTATATTACAAATGAGGAACGTACTATTTCCCAATTTGGTATCTTGCTAATCGGCTATTGATGTCACGATGGTGATTTTTCGAAAATAATATGCACATGAGGATACTACTTTCTTTATTAATTAATAAATGAATGTGATTGAAAAAATGTAGTCTCTATCAATGAAAATAATAGTATGATCTCAATATATATTTCTAGACGAAATCTATGATCTGATGTGCAAAATCTTCACCACAACACAATACTACATTCTATGTGGTGATACTGGTGATATTAATATAGACTCTCTTACAGACACTTGTGAATCAAGAAAAATCAAAAATATATTCTATGAATTTGACATGAGAAATGTCATAACTGAGCCCACACGTATCAATAGAAGCATAGATGCAATGTATACAAACCTCCAGCCAAACGATTGTCATGTCCAAGATACGCATCTTTCAGATCATAAATTTCAAATCTGTACATTCCCATTACCAAGAGCACCCAAATGTAGTGAAGAAACTATTTATAAACGTAAATACTCACATGATAACTTGATAGCTTTCAGAGAACTGTTGAAGAGTGAAAAATGGGAGGATGTTTATACAGCGGATGATGTTAATGAAGGATACAATATTTTTCATTCAATTCTTCTGTACTACTACGACATTGCTTTTCCATTGGAAAAAATTAGAATAAATAAAAATACGAGGGCTAAACCGTGGATAAATAAAGAAATTAAAGATCTACACCAAATGGTATGTGATTTGTGTAGAATAGCTAAGTGTTCAACAAATGAAACAATAAAAACCAGATATAAACAACTGAAATATCTTTATGAACAATTGGTGAAAAAAACTAAAGCAGAATATAACAACAAAAGAATACTGAATGCAAATAACATAAGCAAGGAGAGCTGGAAAATTATTAATGAAAGGAGGAAAAATACAAATACCAATGACAAATTTGAGCTCACTATTAATAATCATAATGTCACAGACAAAGCCAGCATTGGCAATCACTTCAATGATTTCTTCATGGGAATCGAAAAAACAGAACCAAAAATGAATAATCTGAAATTGTCCCCCTTCTCAAATTTTACATTATTCCTGTACCCGACAACATATATGGAGGTACAAGATATTATCACAAAAACAACAAAAACTCCATCACCCGGTATAGATGAAATTAATGGCAAGGCTCTAAGAATTGTTGGTGATTTAATATGCTATCCACTATCTCACATGATAGATAAATCGTTTGTTGATGGAACATACCCGGAAGCGCCGAAAATTTCTAAATCGGTACCTATTTATAAAAAAAAGGGTCGAAAAATAAGTTGGCCAACTACCGAAATGTGTGCCTGCAATCGCGGATTGCAAAAATTATAGATTTCAGCTACTACCTAAGGCTTGTTAAATTTGTTGAATATTTCAAACTTATTCCCAGCTGCCAACATGGCTTTAGACAACAAAGATCGACTTCAACTGCAATAAACGAACTCTGCAACGACATATATATGCAACTAAATAACAAACAATTCCCAATTGTTCTGTTCTTTGACCTAACTAGAGCGTTCGATACAGTGAACCATAGCTTACTACTGGAGAAGTTATATCGAACTGGAATCAGAGGGGTTGCCAACGATTGGGTGGCCTCATATCTAAAAAACAGATCGCAGGTAGTAGTTATTGATTCTGTGAAATCACAATCTGCGTCTGTGTCAATTGGGGTTCCTCAAGGGTCAACTCTTGCGCCACTTCTTTTTATAATATTCATGAGTGACATAGAACTCGCGAGTATGGTCCAGCAAAAAACGATAATCTACGCAGATGATACAAGTAAAATATTGGCAGAGAATAAACTGTCGCTCTCTATAAAATCAGCAAACTCAGCTGCAGAAGAATTCGCCAGATGGTGTGAAAATAATGGCTTGATAATCAATAATAGTAAAACGGTCTTCATGGTTTTCCAACAAAAAAACATTTCGTATGATCACTGTTTCCTAATAAGAGTTAATCACAACTCCATAGAACAAGTGAGTCAGTTCAAGTATCTAGGCCTGACTGTAGATCAGAAATTAACATGAGAAGTACATATAGAAAACCTTGTCACGAAAGTGAGCAGTATGTGCTTTGTATATGGATTGCCTTTTTGGGGGAACTCGGCACATGCAATAAAAGTTTTTAAAATTTAAAAAAAAGTGATAAGATGTCTAGCTGGTCTACATTACAAAGAATCATGTAAGAGTACATTCATCCAACTGGCCATACTGAGTTTACCCAGCCTCTACATTTATACCAGTACAATGCACATTAGAAAAAATGAAACACACCATACCAAAAATAATATGATCCACATCTACAATACTAGAAGAGGCAATGAACTAAGACTACCTTATTCTCGTTTGGCTTTGGACAGGACTCTGCGAGTTATCAAGGTATCATTTGCTATAACCATGCACTCAAACTATTTGGAAACGCATGTAGCTTAGGAAGTTTTAAATCAGCTCTATACAATCATCTAGTCCAAAATGCATTCTACTCTGTTGAGGAATTTTTACAATCTAAATGAGTATTCAATATTATAAAACTTTAATCCTTTAACTTCTATTTTAAAATGTTTGTGTCTGTTCAAATGTTTTTATTCCTGTTCTTGACTAGTCTGATAAAATTTTATAAATGTATGTAATACAGATGTAGAATTTTCAATGATGAATACATTTCTATTCTACTCTATTCTATTCTATACCTATAGGAAGAACATTTTGGGGCAAACCATCCTACAAATGACGAAACTTACTATTCTCGGATTTTTTGAGTAGGTTTCTCACTCTAATCTTTTTGCTCGCTTATATGATGAAAAGCAACGTAATGATTCAGTAGGAGATTTTCAAACAAATAAGAATGCCTTATCTCGCTACTTGGAACCTAATGAAGGCTAGCATTTTCAGTCTCACTACTTGGCGTTACTTCTTTGTCAAAGTCAAAATTCCCAAGATTTTGCCAGACACCCACCCTGAAAGCTGAGGTCGGTGTTTCCAAAAATGTTCTAAAAAAATGATGTGGCCAAATTAAACAAATTGAACCACTCAAGTTATTATTAAAGGACCCCGCACCGCAATAGGGGGGAAATTGGCATTCGGTGAATTTTCTCGAATTTTGGATATATCGTAGAACTCGTGATGTTGATCAGATGACCCAATTATCAACGCTCTAAATTCAATAGTTTGTATTATACAGGGTGCTGAAGTTGACTTTCTCAAAATTTCGAATGGCCATTGTGAAGTTAGTTTCCTTTTTGAATACCAAAATCAAATCGACTACGTTTTGTTTGTCCATGTGGTCGGTGAAAATCCACTATATAGTTCAATGATATCTGCAGGTACTCACGATATACAGAGTTGGTCCAAAAATAGCAGATGTTCCAATTATTTTTTAGACATTTCGTAGTTTACTAATATCAACATCGATTCATGATAATTGCATTTCTTGTATCAGACTACATATTATACACAAGATGTTCAAGTTTCCATGAAACCGCACCCGTCCTGATATCCATATCCATCGAATGATCGGAATCCCGTAAAACTTGGTGAGGAAGTTGATAATTTGTGAAAGTAGTAGTGGAGTTTTCTTGGAGTTGACGTGCTCAGGATTTCTGTCTTGTTTCTCAATTGCTCTGGAGTACGTCAACTCTAAGAAAACTTCACTGCTACTTTCACAACCACCCTGTATAATTCAGGTATCGCTATAAAATATTGTCATCACGAATTATCAACTTCCTCACCAAGTTATACGGGATTCCAATCATTCGATGGATATGAATTTCAGGGCGGGTGCGGTTTCATAAAAACTTGAACATCTTGTGTATAATATGTAGTCTAATTCAAGAAATGCAATTATCATGAATCGATGTTGATATCAGTATACTACGAAATGTCCAAGAATGAATTGATTTCAACCGCTCACTTTTTCGGAAATAATTGGAACATTTGCATTTTTGGACCAAACCCTGTATATCGTGAGTACGTGCAGATATCATTGAACTCTATAGTGGATTTTCAACGGTTACATGGACAAACAAAACGTAGTCGATTTGATTTTGGTATTCAAAAAGGAAACTTCACAATGGCCAATCGAAATTTTGAAAAAGTCAACTTCAGCACCCTGTATAATCCAAACTATTGAAATTAGAGGGTTGATAATTGGGACATCTGATCAGCATCACGAGTTCTACGATATATCCAAAATTCGAGAAAATTCACCGAAAGCCAATTTTCCCCCTATTGCGGTGCGGGGTCCTTTGAGCAGGATTCTAGTTTTTTAACTCTCAATGTTGAACCTCAAATATTAATAGAGGAAAATGTATCCTAGGAAGAGGCCGAACGAAACAAGAAGAACAAGTATACCTATCAGTCATATCAACCTTGACCTAACGTCTCAGTACCTTCTCAATCAGAATATGATAGCCCTTATTTGCCTGAAACCACTATTATAACTCGATTTATAGAATTGTTGAATGAACCTGCGAAGAAAATCATTTTCAACAATGAAGCAGTTGATTTAGAAGGCTACCTTATTGTTAATTTTTCCTTGACTTTAGTACTCAGATGCATGTCTTGCTAAATGCTATGACATTAAAGCACAGCTTAGGTATAGCACTCTGTACGATTCACGCCAGTTCTATGATTTCCAGAGTGTATAGTGTTTTTTCTATACAGAAGTATGTTCTTTCTCGACTTACCAGTATGGATATCTCAATATGAAGCTAGACGTTCCGTCATTCAGCTTGACGGATATATTTGGCAAATCTCTCCAGTCCGAACCCGGATGGACAGGTATGTGGGACATTCTAGCCTCGACCAACGCAGACATCTCCTTGCATATGTGATCGTGGACCAGCTCCTTCTGATCGCTTCCTCTCATCATCTTCTGGAAATGGGACACTGCGTCCCCGCCGTAGGGCATTTCCGTTTTGTTCCAGCCATTTTTTATGTCTGGCAGATCGGACATTGCGTCTCTCACGCAAATCGTTCTGTACGGTGCAGATTCCTTCCATTCACAACCTTGAAACAAAATATTCATTTTCCAACGGTGGGGCATATTTTCCAACAATCTCATCAAAATATATTATTTCATTTTTGGATGTATGATGAATTGATATTCATCATAAAGGACGTGGAAAGATATTCTGAATTGAGAAAACCTAATCACGAATCTGCGATTGAGGTCTATAAAAATAACGAGTTTCCATCGTTCAAGTTTGAACCCCTTGATTGGGTGGAAGTATTGAAAAGGAATATTCTCAGATATATTAATGAACACAAAAAATTGATATATATATACACTGTGTCCATAAAGTCACCCCCCCCCTGGTTAACTATTGAACGGATGGGATTTTTTTTTTCAATTTTTTTTTGCTTCAATGGTAGTTTCAGTGCTATATATTGTTCCAAAAAAAAAAATATGTATCCTCCAAAATGGCGCCTGGGCGCCATTTTGGAAGATTTTTTTAAATGGAGTGGGGGGTCGAAAGACACCTCGATTGAAAGGTCTTTCGATTCTCTATACAACCTCAGAATCTCAGACAAAAATATTCATTCAAAACAAAATGGCGGATGATAACGTTTGAAATCTCACACCAGAATTCTTTCGACTGGATGGCTATTAAAGTGCTCGCATGTGATCTTCAAATCTTTATTGGCGTATAAAAGAGTTCTCTATCTATGAAGATATCAATAGAAAGCCATTTTGAAGAGAATAACATGGTAGTCACGTGGAATAAACATTGTTCTTTATTTTGAATAAATATTTCTAAAATTTTGCAAAGACAATCGAGCAAAGGTATAATTGACTACCATGTTATTCTCTTCAAAATGGCTTCCTATTGATATCTTCATGGATAGAGAACTCTTCTTTACGCCAATAGAGATTTGAAGATCACATGCGAGCACTTCAATAGCCATCTAGTCGAAAGAATTCTGGTGTGAGATTTCAAACGTTATCATCCGCCATTTTGTTTTGGATAAATATTTTCGTCTGAGATTCTGAGGTTGTATAGAGAATCGAAAGACCTTTCAATCGAGGTATCTTTCGACCCCCCACTCCATTTAAAAAAATCTTCCAAAATGGCGCCCAGGCGCCATTTTGGAGGATACATATTTTTTTTTTGAAACAATATATAGCACTGAAACTACCATTGGAGCAAAAAAAAATTGAAAAAAAAAATCCCATCCGTTCAATAGTTAACCAGGGGGGGGGGTGACTTTATGGACACAGTGTATAAAGAAATATATTGAGAATTCGCATTCTCCATGTGATGAAAATATTGATTCTTTCTCGGTTTATTCAAAAGAAAACAACCACTTTCCTGGCTATATGCCACGACAAACATTGAATTACATCTATTTAACACACACGATAAGAATTTAAAAACAAAATCTTCTGAAGTAGAGAATTTGCATTCTCCTTCATATAAAGATATACACACATCATTCTGAATATTCAACAAAAAACAACTACTTTCCTGGGTATTTGCCACGTCGAACATTATATTATATCTGTTGAATATCCAAAAGGAGAGCATTAAAAATCAAAATCCTCTGAAATTGAGAATTGACATTGTCTTCTTGGTTGCATAGTAATCTGTCACGTGGTTTTCAATCATTGTTGAAGACCCGGTACTTACGACATTGATATTCCGTATGTAGGTAATTGAATAAAATACATATGAAACGTTATTCTCGTAGATATTCGAAGAAAAATACGAACACCGCTTACACAGAGGATACATATGTGTTTATAAACTGGACGGTAACGTCGTGAGTGAGACGGTCAAATCGATATCAAAATTGGATCAAATTCTTGTATCCATGTTATTAATAGTATTTGATACAGTTGTTCATTATTTAAAATGATCACAATTTTTTTTTTCAATATGAAAACGATCACCTCTCAAAAGCGCTAACTCTCTGAGACGAGATAACTCTCAATAACCAATGAAATAATACCCAAATGTCGTATGCAGGGTGTTCCATTGGGAAAGGTAAATAATTCAACTGTGGAGAGGAGTCACTGGGGTGATTTCAAAAACCCATGGTTGATGGGTATTCGACTTCTTATAAGCGAGATACAGGATGTTTTATCAATTTTGTCCATAGCTTCATTGTCTCATAACTTTCCAACCAACCTGTATATATTTTTAAAAATTGGTACTCTTGCTCAATCTATCCTGTGGAATTGATTGAGGCAACAACAAAATATAAAATCCAGGTCCGGCTTCACTTAAAATTCACAAATCCTTTCTGCCAGAAAACAACACCCTATACATTCAAATTTCTCTTTTTTTTTCCATATCTGAAAAGAACATCAAAATTTCTATTCAACGATGTGCTTTTTATTCGTGCACAGACGATTTTAACTATTCATATTATGTGCTCAGAATATTATTTTTGCTCATTTTGGGGTACAAAATTGGAATCAGACGAGATTTATTAATTTTATTACTTCCTATTCAGTATACGTGAGTATTACATTTAGAAGGAGTATTTCATATCGTTCTTTGTTCCAGACTTAGTTGCAGGTCCGTCATCAAAACTATATACAGGGCTTTTCTGAATCCTCATCAGAAATCCGAAATGGTTTCATTTTTGGCTGTATGTCATATGACAAGAGGCCAGATAGTTAAGAAGAAGAAAAAGAAATGGTTTCATTGCAATAAAGTCATATAACCTGTGTGTGAGAGATGATATTTCCCATATCACTGATATGAATGAATATTTTTGGAAGTTTTCAAGCTCATCAAGATCAGAGTTTATGCCAGTGTAATTCTCCTATACATTCCAATTTTTATTTCAATGCTGAATATATTGGTAAGTTATATTTCTATATTATTATACATCATATTATTCATCCGATTTGAAGAAGAATGTTAATTCTCAATTCCGGAGGATTTTATTCTTTATTTTTCATGTTCTCCTTTTGAATGTTCATCAGATATAATTCAATGTTCGACGAGGCAAATAGCCAGGAAAGTAGTTGTTTCTGTTGAATATTCAGAATGATGTGTGCATATACATATTTTTGTCTGAAGGAGAATGCAAATTCTCAATTTCAGAAGTTTTTATATTTTATTTTCAAACTCTTATCGTGTGTGTTCAATAGATATAATTCAATGTTCGTCGTGGCATATAGCCAGGAAAGTAGTTGTTTTCTATTGAATCAACTGAGAAAGAGTAAATATTCTCATCACATAGAGAATGCGAATTCTCAATGTATTGCTTTATATAAATATATATCCATTTTTGTATGTTCATAATTTATCTGAGAATATTCCTTTTCAACACTCTTGTACCCATGTTATTAATAGTATTTGATAGAGTTGTTCATTATTCAAAATGATCACAATTTTTTTTTTCAATATGAAAACGATCACCTCTCAAAAGCGCTAACTCTCGGAGACGCGATAAGCCGATAAGCAACAATAGTGTCATATCTCTCAATAACCAATGAAATAATACCCAAATGTCGTATAGAAATAAGAACTAATTCATGTTATGAAGTATCGCGAATTTTAATAATTATTCAGAAAATGTACACACCTCTGAGAAGATAACGGTTTGCGACAGTTAACTAGTAGGTATATGAAGTATCGCGAATTTTAATAATTATTCAGAAAATGTACACACCTCTGAGAAGATAACGGTTTGCGACAGTTAACTAGTAGGGTTGGTACCTCCGTTATTTTCATAGGTGATTTTTCGTGAAATGATTTTTGTTGATCAATCAACTTCTACCCGGAAAACGCTATTTGACGACATTAGTCATTTTGACATTGATAAAAAATGATGCACCTTTTTTATCGCTGATAAACTGCCTGCTCCTTTGATCTAGTAGCTATTTGCGCCTGATGTCACTCCAATTTCTGTCGTGTCAAGTTGGATCGATGGGTATAGTTCACGCGTAAATTAGCAAGATGAGCCGTTTTAGGAAAATTTCGTCTGAAGAAACCACGAAAATATGAGAAAATCAATTACGCAAACTACCAGTTACACGGAATCATCAATAAAGGTAATCATTATTGTTGTTTATTTGTATATTTTCGTTGATTTATCTCGCCAAAAAACACTCAAACTTTTTTTTAATCGGATAAATTTCCTTGCCAACTCAAACATTCTCCATCAGTTATTTCTCTCGAAAAACTGGCATTAGAAAAATTTCTCGACCTACGGTCTCGCAATTTTTTATGTCAGTTTTTCATGTAAATTTACTGATCGGCAAATTTTTTTGTTACCAAGAGAAATTTATCCGATAATGAAAAAGCTCTTGTGCTTTTACTGATGATGAATTACCGTTTATAAATATGCTTCACCTTTGAAACTCCCTGTATCCATAGTCAATCACTCGTACATACATCAGTTCATTATATTTTGCCAAGAATTTCAAAATTAGGTGTTCAGAGAAGATATTGAGGAAAAATTGTGTGCACATACAGGGTTTCCATGAATGATCGTAGCATCGTAGTGACTGTTGAAATAGTGCCGCTTTCTGCTTATGTTGTTTACAAGCATTGAAGCGACCGAATGTGTTACAGTTCGATCACAAAGAGAGGGGAGACATGACATTTCATTTATAAAACACTATCTGTTCACAATCATACATACTTCCAAAGTTTCAAATGAGTTAGAAAGAGGTGGCTTTGAAAAATGGCAACGCTGTAAACTGTGCGTCAATGTTAAGAGGGGCGTAACCAAGGTCATTTCACAATGGCTGGAATGCAGACCTCTACTATGAAATGACTTTCGGCGTTACCAAAAGTCCGATTGTCAAATAGATTGAATCATCATAAAGACGAAAGTTCCGACTCGGGTTTGGATAGTTTTGAAGGCAAATTTCGTTCGATTAAGAAAGCTGCAGAAGATCAAAAAGATGTAAACATTGTAAAATTTTGTGTCTCAGAATAACGTTATATTCACTCATACCCAGCGTTATTTTTTTGGGCAACCCACACTAGAATTTCAGCTCTTGAAATGTAACCATTTAGATGAAAGTCTTTTTTATATACAATTTATGTAAACAATAGGCCTATATATCTTGCATGGATAATATCTTCTCTAAATTAGATGGTAGAAAACTTGAATATCGTAGTTCAGGTACTCTCTGCTAGATGGAGGTACCGTCGCAGCAGTCGGCTCTAAAAGCATCTAATCTAGTACGTTTTGCGCGAACTGGATGATGTACCAATAGATGGAGCTCAAAATGTGAAAAGTTTGTTATTTGTTCAAGAATGCCTTTGCACGTTCAAGGATGTCGAATATTGAGCAATAGCAAACATTCACTCATTTTTTAATTCACGAATGGCAGTAATATGGCGGTAAATTCGAATTTGTTAGTAATAGTTGTACTGGATGTGCTTCTAACGAGCGCATCACGGACGTGAGATCATGAAAAAAGTTTATAGAAATCGAATTGGAGTGAATCACAAAATTTAATGTCTCAACAATATATGCTTCCATTTTTGGCGATTGTGGAATAAACTGGTCAGCGGATATCAATATATAAGCTGCTCATAAATTTGATTGAAATTCACGAACCCGGACCAGTGTTGTCACCTTAGTGTATTTTACCCTAGAACTGAATCTAAATGGGTCTGTTTGAGTGGAATTTCATATTTCATTATGTCGAATTACTAAATCAAACTATATAATTCACTGTCGGAAATCATTTTCTTGTCAGAGCTATGTACAATTTTCGAAATTTTTATTATTGAAATTATACTGATATTTATCACATGAAAAACGCGGAACATTGCGTCCGAACATTGATCCGACCTATGTATTGCCGAAACTTGGAGTGCCAATAATTTCCTTTGACTTTTGTGGGGCGGCCGACTCGGTGCGATTGTCGGCGATAGGGCTGCCACTGCCAAGCCGTCGTTTGTCGCCCTAACAATACAAGTACATCCTAGGGACTTCCCAGGGACGTCCCTAATTTTATACAAGGACATCTCAGAGATATCCTTTGTCGGGACAGAGTACATACTAGGGACGTCCCAGGGACATCAGCTGGCTGACAAAAAAAGCATCCAAGGGATTTTCGTCTGGTACGTCCCTGGGATGTACCAAGAACGAATAAAGGATATCCCTAGGAGGTCGCAAGAATATTCCAGGGACATCCCTTCGACAAAAGAAAAAAATTAGGTCGAGTAGGGTTTGAACCCGGGACTTTTAGCTTATCAGGCACGCACTTTACTCCATTGGCTGATACGCCTTCTGAAGATTTATGTGCCAAACAGATTTTTAAACAGGACTAAACTGCAGAAACCTGAATAAATACAACTTTGTTAGGATTTGGGTATAATTATTATTATCATTCGTGGATGTTTAAAAATGAGGGGCATTATGCATTTACGATTTCTGTTTGCGAAAAATGGTCATTTCTTGAGAAGTTTTGAGACAATTTTCTTTATTTTCATTACAATTATTTACCGGAAAAAACCAAACATTTTCATAAAAATTCAACTCAATATTTTGATGAAAGTCAATGACTCTGATGTGAATAGATATCAGATATTCCAGGGACACGAATAGGATAACCTATGGATGTACCGGGCCGGATGTCCACTGGACAGCCACCCCTGGATACCCCAATTATGTCCTTGTACCGTGCGACAAAAAGGGTACGTACCTAGAACATCCCTGTGTTGTTAGGGCGGAGATTCTGAGCGTTCCGTAGTCTGTACTCCGTTGTTCTAGAGCGGTAAAATCGATTCTACTCAGAAAAAGTTACTGGTATCACAAAATATCAACGCCGATTTCATGATTATATATCGTGGCATATAGACTGGAAATGTAGCTGTTTTCTGTTTTTATCTCTTCAAATATACCAAAAAAGCATATTTTTCAACAATTAGATACCTACTGTAAAAAATGGTTCATAAGCATGCAGTTTCAACTCTTGTAATCCAATAAATAAATGAATTCTATATATGTTCCAATAGTTATGACCCACTATCTGTATATTATGCCTATTATAGATGATGTATTTTATTTCATTTTTATAGTGAACCAATAACAATCAAAGATTCAAAGATATCTGACTATTTATTTTCTATCTATACTGATGAGACTCTAATAAGAAATTATCATATTGTGATTGATTATATTATCAATATTTCGTAATGTCTTAAAAATACAAAACTTCAATATGGATACAAATTGAGTGAAAAAAATAATCAACGAAAAAGGCGTGAGATATTTTTCCAGATATACATATACAGGGTGACCCAGGGTTAAACCGCCAAACGTTCAGGATCAGTTTTTTAGGCAAAAATAAGACTCCTTCTTTCCATAAGCATGTTTCCTAACTTGCTTCATTTAAGAGATATAGGGTGTCAAAGTTTTTAGAAAAAATCAGTTTTTCATTAATTACTCAAAAACCTTTTTGCTGATTTTGATAAAACTTGGCATGCTCATTTGAGGTAATAAGGGGCTCCTGTTTACTATTCACCTAGAATAAAATCAGTATTTCCAATAGCGTCCCAGAGGGTAATCTATCTAATATTAGTATAAATCATTGTACGCCACTGTTTTATTCGTATGTTTATTTCTTAAATTAAACTTTCAAAAATACATTTTTTTGTCATCGATTCTTTTTGTATACATTGGTTTTTTTTTAAATTCAATAGCGCTTTTGTATAAAGCTGCGAGAAAATTATATTTCACGGAAAACGTGGCGTACAATGATTTATCCTAATATTTGATAGATTACCCTCTGGGACGCTACTGGAAAAAATAATTTCATCCAAAGCAAACAGTTAACAGGAGCCCCTCATTACCCCAAATGAGCATACCAAGTTTTATCAAAATCAGCCAAAAGGTTTTTGAGTAATTAATGAAGAACTGATTCTTTATAAAATCTTTGACAGCCTATATCTCTAAAATGAAGCAAGTTAGGACACATGCTTATAGGAAGAGAACGTTTTATTTTTGCCTAAAAAACTGATCCTAAACGTTTGGCGGTTTAACCCTGGGTCACCCTGTATATTGGTCTAGGCAAAGTATGACAAGTTATTCACAAGGGAATTTAAAAAAAAGCCACGGAGTATGAACCCAACTGAGTGAGAGATCATACAATATGTTCTTCTCTCTTCCGCAAGGAACCGAGGGAAAAATCAATACTCGCATCCCGTTGTTATTGTTTTGGTTGCGGATTGCGGATTCCCCATATACGTCCATGGGATTCACCGACCGTAGCAAACATTTTTTTATCGGAAGACAAGGATAAACAAATATTTCTGGAGCGATAGCACGCGGTGGGATGGGATCTGTAATTCTGTACAAAAGTGTAGTAATCTGTACAATTAGTTCAGACATGTTCTGTGTGCCTAGTGGAGTAGCTACCTCACAGTGGCCGATAGACGAGGGGATGAGCGGGGCATCGACTCGAAAATAACACAGGTTGGGCATCTTCCCAGCGTAAGCGTAATATATCAATCAACAACTGAACTATGTTGAAAATAATATGATTCATCATTTATCCATCTATCGGCTGGAATTGTAAGTAAATGTTCTGTCAGCCGTCATCCGTCATAATGTTTTGTGCCCTGAGCGCCCTAGGTGGTCCAATCGGCAGTCGATTTGAATTGTACTAGATCGATGCAGATTTCTGTACTGATATTAGGCTTCGAAAAATTGAAGAGTTCTGCATTGAATTTTCAAGATGGCGTAATTAATTTATGATTTCTTCACCGTAGTGACATCTTGCGAAAAGGTCAGCGTTAAAATGTGGAGGCCCGTCTTAACACTTTTCTCCATCATCTGGGTAGGTTGAGCAAGGGGCACGACAATTGTACTACAATGACCTACCCAACGCTATCATACCTATTAGAAAATGTTTGGGTCTAATCTTTTGATTTTAATACCAAATATACGTAGTACCTTAGGTACTCACCTAATTTTGATCCATCATTCAGTGTTTGAACAAAAAAAATTAGTTAAAAAAACCTGCGAGGAGAACACCACTGCTCAATTCACACACTGGCGAACCATAATAGACTTTTCATAATTGTCTTCATATATTTTCATAACAAGAAACACTGAAAATCTATTGAAATACAAAAATTCCTAATATGGTCACAAACACAGCACATCGACCCTATAACATAGGATTTTGACATATATGAATAACTAAGAAAAGTATGCGTAACCCGTAGTAAACACTCGAATACATCGTTGCCACAGTTATTTCCATAATACATCATAATGTACGGTAATGCTGGAATAAGGAAAATTTAAATTATGTTAATAGCATGAATGACATATTTCAATCAAGGAACAACCATACAGAATGAATATACATAAAAAAATGTATATTAAATAGTTAATGTATTATAAATGCTTCCCTTTTTATTAACAGTCACTACGATGCTAGGATGATTTAAAGAGACCCTGTATTACCTTCAAGTCATGGAGTTGTAACTACTATCATAAAATGGTGAAACTCAAAATTGTGATATTAGGTTGTATTTCATCATTCTTCATTTGTTGTGTAATGAATCTGTAGATTCGAAATTGATGAAAATATTTATTAAGATCCCCAGCTTTTTTGGAATTTTCTCTCCTCGTTCTTATAAATAAAAATATGAGTATTATCTTAATATACAGAGAAGTACACAAAAACGGCCAGTGCTGTAACTTTTGAATAATTCGAGGTCAGATTTTGAAATTGGGTGGGTAGCAATTATAAATTATCCAGTTCGGTATTCAATTGACGAATGTTATCACACAATTTCAAAATACTGTCAACACTGGATGACCTTTGAAATATGTTTTCAAATTCAACCGATCTCACAGGAAAATCAGCGATGTTGAAGAACACCGTGTATACCGATAAATTTCGTTATCATTATTATGTAAATGAGAAATAATCATTTACCGTTGAAATATCGCCAGCCGTCAACAGTGAAGGAAAGCTGGCACCCCCTTTTGTTGAAAACATGAAGGGGTTCGGGATACTTCGGTAGAATAAAACCAGGGGCAGCAGCCATGATGATCAATCTTCTTCTAGTTTGTGGAACACCGTAGTGACCGGCTTGTAATACTCCAAAAGTGACCTGGTATCCCATAGCCAGCAGACAACGCAGGGTCAATTTCAATACCATGCTTCTCTTGAATGACACAAAGTTTCTCACATTCTCCAGGACGAAATATTTTGGCCTATACGAAATAATATCATAATGAAACCACCACCGAGCAACATAATTATGTTAACTTTACGCTAAGCGCTACTAGGTGCGCTGCCAGTACATACAACGTATTACAGACTCATGCAGGGGTGCTCATCAGACTTATGCTCAAACTCATAGTATTGGTGATCTGTCTCAAAATACTTAGGCAGATAGTTATCGACCTTTATCTACTATTTCTAAAGAAAATACACATTTCAAATGCGTGTTTGTTGCACCTCGATATTAAATATAAAGTATAAAATGAAGTTTCATACTCCAGGACACTGCATATACCGGGTGGCTACGGAAGTATTGCCTACGGAATATCTCAGTTATTGTATGAAGTAGGTTTGTGAAATTTGGAGCGTCGATATAATGACATAAGAGCTAGAATTTGAGCATATTGACATGTCGAAGTTAAATTCCGGTCTGACCGGAAGTAACATCAACTTTCTTATTTTAAATGAAAACCCAATTTTTTTTTCTTTTCGCTTCATTCATCATTCAATTCCCTTTCTAATGACATATCACAAGTTGGTATCTAACCAGAAACTAGATCAGAAAAAAATTATTATTGAAATTCACCGAGTAGGCCGTGGAAGCAAAATGATAGCCAAAAATTGAAAAGTTGGCTATGGAAACCATACGTTACTTGATAACAGTTGCTACTACTGTGAAAAAGTTGTATGTTCCTATTTAAGTTATGGACCTACAGAGTATTGTTTTTTTCCCAATTTTTCCAATATTTTTTCGGCGGCTTTTTATAACGCCGACGAATGAAAATAAAATATCACAGTAGTAGCAACTGTTATCAAGTGACGTATGGTTTCCATAGCCAACTTTTCAATTTTTGGCTCTCATTTTGCTTCCACGGCCTACTCGGTGAATTTCAATAATAATTTTTTTCTGATCTAGTTTCTGATTAGATACCAACTTGTGATATGTCATTAGAAAGGGGAATTGAATGCTGAATTAAGCGAAAAGAAAAAAATTTGGGTTTCCATTTAAAATAAGAAAGTTCCGGTCAGACCGGAAGTTAACTTCGACATGTCAATATGCTCAAATTCTAGCTCTTATGTCATTATATCGACGCTCCAAATTTCACAAACCTACTTCATACAATAACTGAGATATTCCGTAGGCAATACTTCCGTAGCCACCCGGTATATCATCAGCCGCGCACTTTTCATAGCTTGTCGTACCTAATGACTGAAGAAATGGATAACTCATGAAATTAAAGTGGTGATTAATTTGTAGAACATCAATTTCTCTGAACTTTCGGGATTGTCAGTGATACCTTGTTTGAAGAAACATATAGGTGTTCAGAAAAATATAAAATTTCACTCATCTATGTACGTTTTGGGAACGAAAATGTTACCGTTTTCAACATAAGAATGAAATAGTTATTTGTTTTACTAGATAGGAAAGTAGTAGATTGACTGCAGCGGCTGATAGTTAATAGCCGAGCGCAGCGAGGCTAGGAATTCAGCCAAGGCAGTCAATCTACATTTGCTGTCGTGTGAAACATAATTTCTTCTCCAAATTTTATAAAACCAATTTTGTGTTATTGTTTTATTGAAAACTCATGTCAATGTCAATTTTGATTACCAATTTCATTCAAACTACTTGGAACGTTGCATAGCAACAAACAGTAGGTAATAATATGCTATCAACCCTCCGGTACACCCTATTTTAATGTAGATATTGTGCCTAATTTCCGAAAATTAAAGTTTATTGAACCTGTCCACAGGTAACTAATCCTTCAGGTTGGGAAAGTAGGATATATAAAAGTGAAGCAAGCCATCGTTTGTAAAATTTTTAAATTCATTCAAACTACTTGGAACGTTGCATGGCAACAAATTTTTCCTGAATAGGCAGATAAAGTACACTTTTCCTGTCTGTTAAGTGTTTGAGAAAAGCCACTTTCTATGCCGCTTGGCGAAAAAGTATTTTATCTTACCTATAGTATTCACAGTAGCTGAGAAAAGAAACAACGAGGGAGTTTTTGAAAAGGGAATACTGCCCAGCGTTGAACCTATTCATGCCAGAGAAGCCTTGGCACGGGGGTCCGCCCACCAGCAATTCCACGTCCCCCTTGCCAGGTAGTCCCTTCTGTTTGCCTTCGCCGCTGAGTACGGTCCTCAATATATTGTTGCAGTCGTCCGAGAAGACTTTGCAATCCGGGTTGTTCAATCTGTATGCGTTGGCAGCCGTGATTTCTTTCTCGATCTGACAAACAAGAATAAAGATTATGTAAGGATGCTACTATGAATAGGTTCATTATCATTCATATCGAATTAATTCTAAACTGGTGAAAATTACATCGCCCAGTATCTTCGACAGATTAAGGAAGTTGAACCATAACCGAAATAATAGTTTACAACCCTCTTCCCTTTCACAATTGACCATAACCGCAAATGAATTTGAACAGATTGCCTTTTTATATGTTGCGACCAGATTTATAGATTTAATTAAACTATTGTCATATTATTTTAAGGTGAATAATGGCATGGCATCGGCGAGATATAGTTGTTGGGTTTTTCCTAGCCTTTTCCCAATAACTTAATATCATATTTGGATTGTAAGACAAGACTAGCTCGATTCATATAATCGGGGTCCACATAGATTTATTCCTCAAGCTAATAAAGTGAAGGATCAGTATAACTTATAGGCACGTTATTTTCACTCTTGCACCCTACATATTTACAATTTGTGATAGAGTAATAATTACATAAACTAATGTGAAAAGTGCAGTTTTGAGCAGTGGTTATTTGAATAACACTAGAAGTGAGATCTGGAACCCATGCAGTTTTCGTGATATTTTCATAAAAAACATCATTATACAGAATTCGTACTTGGCTGATTACAATAAAAAATTTCATTAACTTCAGTGATCCACAATTGGGTTCGCAATTTTTTGCTATTTTGTGAGAGATTGCTTCACTTACCTTTCAGCGATATTCGTAGACTTCCAAGCAAGAATGTCTCCTCCAGAATTCGTAAGTAAACTTGAATTTTCCAATTTTGACGAAACAATCATTATCTCCAACCCCGAGAAACCCCAGATACCTTCCAATTTTGAATAGAATCGGATCATAATTACAATACTCGTTCGCCATAGGATCTTCCTCTAAAAGTATACCCTGTACCAGAGATCAGTCACCCACTGGTGACTGATCTCTGCCCAGTGCCCTGTACATACCTATTATTAATTTTTTTAATGATTTTCTGTAGCGCCCATGGATGTGACATGACAACAATGTCAGGGATGCCAGTAGACAAAACTAAAGTCTCTAGATCATTAAAAAAGAATGCAGCTATGATCTATCCGTACCCTGTTAAGATGACTTCTACGTCAATTTCCATCAAGGGACCCTAGACTAGACTATCAATATAACATCTGACCGGCCAGACACAATTTGGCGCTTGGTTGTGCTTCTCTCATGTCACGTTATATACTGAGTATACGAAAGAAATATTTTACACAATTTGGGGGAAGTCCGTTTTAAAATTTTGTTCTGTTCGGTTGTGTCACGTCCATCTGATAATATGCATAATTAATTCAGTTAGGAAAGCATCAATTGAGTTATTCATCGGGATTTTCCACAGTAACTTGTTCAAAATAAACCAGCAGATTTTTATAGAATTGGATCGATCATCACTCATTCTAGGAAATCATTAGCAATGGTCACTACTTTCGAAACCACCCTGTATACTGCAGGTATCCGCAGAAAGGATTGTCAGCAAGTTCCTCACCAAGTTTTATTATTATTATTATTATTATTATTATTAAAAAGTGATAATGGGCTGAGGTGTGAACCTATAAAAGCCCATTTATACATGACATAGTTGTATGGTACACATAAAGAAATATTATATATATATGTAAATAGCTACTAGACAAACAATTAGATTAAAAATAAAATTGAAAAAACAATTAAAAATGTTGAATAGAAATTGAACATTTCGAAATAAAATAGACAGATATAATGCGATGCAAACTGAAAAAAAACAAAAACAATTTACTCAGTAATACGATCTAATCGACTTTTGAATGATGATACTGAGGGTGCATTAACTATGTCTGTATCCAGGTTGTTCCATGCCGAGAAAACACGATTTACTATGAAGTTTTGCCGATTTGACGACCTGAAATGTTCCTTCTTAAGTTTAAAATTATGTCCTCTTAATCGTGTATCATCGTTTATCTGGAACATATCACTCAGTGAGGGTAGAAATCCATGAAGAATCCGATAAGTTAGGATCAAGTCTCCACGATGTCTTCGATCTTCGAATGTTGTCAGGCTTAACTGATTCAAACGTTCATGGTATGATGGTCTTCTGAGACCGAAGGACATTCGGGTTGCTCGTTGTTGCACAGATTCCAACATGTTACGATCTCTGATCAACTCCGGGCTCCACACTTGTCCTCCATATTCTAGGATTGGCCTAACATAAACTTTGTAGAGGTTAGTGAACGTTTCAGGTGACGTTTTCGGAAAAACTTTTTTCAAGAGGTACAATTTTGTATTCGCTCGTTTGCATATGTTTGAAATATGTTGTGACCACGTTAAATTGCTGGTTATGGTAACTCCAAGATCATTGTGGCATTCAACCTTAACTAATTGCACATCATTGATGGTATAATTTTGTCTAGGATTATTTTTACCAAGGTGAAGTACAACACATTTATCAATGTTCAGTGGTAGTAACCACTCACAACTCCAGTTGTATAAGGCAATCAAGTCATTTTGCAATATATGTTGTGATTTTGTGTTGTTGTAAAGTTTTGTGTCATCAGCGTAAAAAGAGCAGGTTGACTTAAAAATATGTGATAAATCTGATGTGTAGCACAAAAACAACAGAGGACCAAGTACAGATCCTTGGGGAACTCCACTCAATACAGGATATTGGTCAGAGAAGCAATCATCTATCCGAACACAAAAATATCTGTTCTCTAGAAAATTCTGGATCCACGTCAGTAGTAGCCCGCGTACACCAAAATGTTCTAATTTACACAAAAGTCTTTTTCTAGGGACACGGTCAAATGCTTTAGAAAAGTCTAGATAAATAATATCCATAGGGGTATTATTGTCCAAATGTTTTGACCAGACATTCACGCACTCCAATAAGTTTGTTGTAACTGACCGATTTGGAACAAAACCATGTTGTTGTTGCGGAATTATTTTGTGATATAACAGGAAAGTTTTTAATTCATCACTTATTATTGATTCCATGATTTTGCAAGCCACTGAAGTGAGACTTATAGGTCTGTAGTTGCTTGGGTCGAGCTTGTTACCCTTTTTGAATATTGGTGTTACAGATGCTAACTTCCAGCTATTTGGTAAGCAGCAGTTTTTGAATGAACGGTTCATAATTATACTTAGTGGATAGACTAGATTTTCGCTGCATCTTTTTAGAAACAGGACAGTGATGCCATCGATGCCTGGGGAGGAGGATGATTTTAGTTTTCCAATTTTGTCCAGAATTTTTGACGGAGGGAAATTCATATTGGAAAGGTTGTCCTGGTTGCGTACGGAGTTAATCGTGATTGTATTTGGTAATTCAGGTTCAATGTTAAAGGATGTTGTGAAAGTACTTGCCATCATTTCTGCGACTTCTTTGTTGTCTTTGCATATGTCACCATCCGTCTTCTTCAACATAGGTATACTAACTCTAGAACTAAGGTGTGATCTTATGTACTTGTGAAGCTTCTTGGAGTTTTCAAATTTTGATAGATTCCTTTCATATGAAATTCTAGCATTCTTTATCGATTCAGATAGTGTATTTGAGAAACGTCTGTGAGTGTGATAATCGTTGGCGTTTCTTGTTCTTTTGAATCTTTTCCATAATGTCTGTTTTCGTTTCACCTGTGTGAGGATGTTGTCGTTAATCCATGGTTTGAGTCTATTTTCCGAAAATGTTTTGATTGATGTATTCTGTTCCAATATGATATTTGTAGTATTATGAAAAGTCTCCCATATGGTATTCACGTCATCTCCACTCAATAAAACGTCCCAGTCCATGAGTGAAAGTGATTCATTAACCTTATGAAAGTCAATATACTTTTTAACTTTTTTCCGTTGACTCGGAACTGATTCTGTAATGATTTGAATAGATGTGCTCAAAACTACATGATCTGATTTTCCTATAGGTGGAAGATAATTAACATCTGTGAATAACTGTGGATCATCAGTAAGTAGCAGGTCCAAAGTTGAATCATTTAATGGATATGAATAGCAGGACGGGTGCGGTGTCATGGAAACAAAAACATCTTGTGTAGAACATGTAAGTCTGATACTACAAAATGTCCGTAAACTAATTTCCACCGCTCACTTTCTGAAATAATTGGAACATTTGGACCAACTCTGTATATCGTATGTGCAGGTATCATAGTGGATTTTCACCGACCACATAAACAAACAAAACGTAGTCAATTTGGTTCAGTTATTCAAAAAGGAAACTTCACAATGACCATTCGAATTTTTGAAAAAGTCAATAATACAAACTATTGAGTTTAGAGCGACGATATTTGGGGCTTCTGATCAGCTTCACGAATTCTACGTTATATCGAAAATTCGAACAAATTCACCGAATGTCTGTCCCTCTTGTTGCGGTGCGGGGTCTGTCAATAGTTTGAATTTTCAAATGGAATTAATTTCTAACATTGTCTAGGTTTATTAAGGTGTCAAGTAATCTTATTTGTATATACATGTAATATCTTTGTTTTGACGGATTTTGATTGGCTTTATAATTGATCATCTAGCTGTACCCCAAACTGAAATCAAGTGTTGAAAAGGAATATTCTCAGATAAATTAGGAACATACAATAATGGATATATATTTATATAAAGCAATACATTGATAATTCGCATTCTCTATGTGATTCGTGATAGAGTCTCAATTTAGAATTTCTTTCCACGCCCTGTATGATGAATGTCAATTTATCATACACCCAAAAGCAAAAACGTTGAAATCAAGTATTGTAATTTTAAATAAACCAAGGAAAAATACATACATTTCAAGTATTTCAAAGTATTTGGTGTCTGATCCGATTACTGGAGATATTTTCTTTCTGATCGATTCAACATGTTTGGACCATGACAAATGTTCATCAAGGAATATCCCGAGAAATTTGATTTTTGTGGAATATTATTAAATTTGATACCAGATTTCAGTTCAGCTGAGAGGCGTCGTTTAGAGAGTTTGAAATCATCAACTAATATACGAGTTGGTTACAACAGTTTTTCGTGAACTATATTTCTCCCGCATCATTTATCCTGAAACTACTAACAACATACTAACCCATGAAATTCAACTTGTCACTAACATTAGTGACATTTGTCGAGAATATCAACATGGAAAATGAATTACTTTGTTTTAGAAAACAGATATCCAGTAATATTCAATCGAATGGCCATCGACCTGAGTCCTTCAGCCAATCTGATATATTATCCGTTCCAATAAGCGACTATTGCATTAATGAATCGACTTAACCTAGCAGCAGTGAACAGAAAGACGAAGTGCGCACACCGCTACCAACTTATGGTTGTGGTTTTCATTGTATAGTTAGCTAAATACTTACTGCCCATTTTGGTTCCGCTATGCCCGCTTGATGAAATCCTTCTGATAATCCTCCGCAACCAGCAAAAACATCCATACACCTAAGAGGTCGGTCAAGAGACTCCCATTCTGGGGCTAATTCAGGTAACTCAACCTTGACTTTGGATTTTCCTTTTCCACCTAAATATAAAAAATCATTATAAATCACAGATTTAGTGAAAGTTTCAATCAAAATCTATTTCTCGAATACCGTTTTTCACCAAATGTGCTACCACTTTTAATATTATTAGATATTGGCATTAAAATAGGCGTGCCCTGTGTGTATGTCATCTGCTTTTAATGAATCACCCTATATGTCACTCAGAACAATGCGTGGCATGAAGCCAGGAAAGTTGTTGTTTTTCTCTCGTTATCTACCATTTTTCTTTCATTTTGTGAACTTGTGTAGTAATGACTTTGAGTTTCTCTCTCCTTGTGACCATTGCGTTCCAGTTTGAGTATTTGGCTTTTTCCTAGTTGTGTTTACCGAATGTTCACCACATAGCACGTGGTTGAGTTTCGCAGATTTTAGGTACTCACGAAATACAATAATGAATATTATGCCATTTTTCCATAGGACGAAAATATACATTCCATTGAATTGTCAACTAGAGAGAACCACTCGGTACATTTTTAATGATAAAAGCAGCAACAATTTTCAAACTCAGATTTTATTTTCAAATTCTTATTGTGTGTGTTCAATATATATGATGCAATCTTCGTCGTGGCATATAGCCAGGAAAGTAGTTGTTTTCTGTTGAATATACCGATAAAGAATTAATATTTTTCATCAGATAGAGAATGTGAATTCTCAATGTATTTCTTTATACATATGTATCAATTTGCGTATTGACTCATAATTTGCAAAGAAGACAAAAACAGGGAGTTCCTAAAAGGTCTGTCCAAAATCTGAGATCAAAATAAGACGATTTAAAGGAAATTAGAATTTAAAAAATGAAAATCGATAAGTACACTCCAAAAATGTATTTTGAAAAATCCATTTTTGCACTACTCATTCACTGAACAAATTACATCCACGAAGATAACAGCAAACATATTTTATTTAAATTAATTCAAATATTCCGGTGCGTTATTGAACACCAGAATCCGAAATATCCCGAAAACGGCTTGGTTTAGCGAATTTTCACATGTTTTCTGAACCTGATTTCGTTATATAAACTTAAAATATGTTGCTTTATTCATTATGCCAGGAATAAGTTGAAAATATCAAATTTAGCTTTCAATGAAGTCAATACAGTCCATAATTATGGGACTAGACAATTGAATTACTTGATAGCAAATACATTCAAGTCAAACATTGGCAAACAATCTGTTTTTCACAATGGAATAATTTTATACAATTCATTGCCGAATGAGTTGAAAAATATACATGATGCAAGAAGGTTTAAAATCAATCTTAAAAAATACTTGCTCAGGACAATTTGAAAGAAAAATATGTGGCATGATTTGATTACTTAGGAATGAAATATAACTTTAATCTTATAAGACACAATATTAATTCGTTTCCACTGAGTGGAATTCATTATAGTTAACCCTTTATTATTATTTTTTTTATATGTATTTATGTATCCCTATCATAAACAGAAATGTTTCTTGGGGTAATAAAGACAATCAATCAATCAATCAATCAATCAATCAAATATTCAAAATAATTTCCTCAACAAAAAAGTGCAAAACAGTGGGGAAAAAGTTATGGCCATTCTAAAACATAAGAAGTGCATTAGTAAGCGCCCACTAATGGCCCAAAAACCCCCCGTCTACCAATTTTTAAAGTGATACGTTCAAAAATGTTCATACATTTTGAACAATTCGGTTTTTATTTTTCAACTTCACCACCCTGTACCTCGGAAATGGAGCAATTTTGGACTGAGGTAAGTTGCTTTAGATCGACTTATTTTGACCTCAAATAGTTTGTTTTGTAAATGAATGGAGAAGCATATTCTCTCAATCTTGAAATATTCGGTTTGGAAATATGGGCCTAAAATATAGTTCCATTCTAATCTGCTCTGTTATAAAAAGTTAATTTCAATTGTAATCTAAGTATCTCATGAATTTTGCTTATGTTCAAATCAATTTTTCATCCAGGCCGTTTCATACATTCCTTCCATATGAGAATGGGGTTGATATTTCCTTTGGCGGATTAAATAAATGAAATCCATTTTCTTTAGAATTCCCACAATTCATTACACAGCAGGACATCTTCATTTATGCTTTTTTTCTCAATAGTTCATGATATTATATTTCAATTCTCACGTTCATAGTATTTATTCTCAAATTCTAACAATTTTGAATGAAAAAGCGCAGAACGACTATGGCGCTCTTGCGTTACCACCGATAAAACAAGGCCTGCATGCTCCGTGGGTGACGTCACTTAGTCAGGCCTAACCAGCGGCTCGAAACGACAAGCGCTTATAGCGCTATAAGGCGACCGCGTATTTCGATTTAAGTTTTAGATCATTATTGAGCCGATTTTGCTTTTTTTTAAGGGCTTCCGGTTGAAAGTGGATGCCAGCCGTCAACTGAGCCCTTCTTCGCATCCCATTCGATTTTATTATGGAAAAACGAAGTTTCAAAGCAAAAACCAGAATAAAACACAAATACCCACCTACAGCAACCCATTCGAATTAAATATATTGGCAAAAATTGTAGTGATTCAATCTCATTAGAGGTAAACTTCACACCTACTTATACAGGGCCCGCAGAACAAACTTATCATGAGATTGGTCGAAAGAAAATTGGGGAAAATGTATTTTAGTTTGATAGACATGCCGTTTGTTATACCTAATTACCTATATTTATCTTGGAGAATTCCTATTACCTAAAAAATTAGCCAGTGAGTGTTTTCAATTTCCTGTTGTTGGATTTCTTACCCAATTGGTCGTTAGACTTGAAACAGTAATTTTTAAGTAGAGTGTTTGTAGTACATGTTAATATAATAGTTGCAATTTGATCATTGGAATGAATTCTGCATTCATTGCCACGAGGCAAATGACCGTTTTCAGAAAGAAATTTGAGAATGTATTGAGGCAGAAACCAAAGAGTCCAATGCATTCGAAATATGTTTCAAAAACCTCTTTTTCTGATTATCAAGACATTTTCCCGAATTATGTATCTCGTTTTTATCTATTTCAATTAGTAATTCCTTGATTTGATTGATATTATTAGAGATAAAAGGTGTTTTCAGATTGGCTTTTAGAGATGTTTGTATCGCTAGGTCATACAAAAATGATTCCACATTCAAAACAAAATCAATCACAACCGAATATGTAATTACGGGCCCTGGAGAATAAGACAATTTGAATAATGTGACTTTTTGCAAATCGATAATTTTGAACCACTTTTCGGGCAACTGAAAAGACTCTAATACAACTAGAAATTCTTGAAATTCTGTGTAGCAAAATGATTTTTGGTAATTTTCGAATTCAGTTTTACTTTTGGTAAGTGCTTGTGCCAAATTTTTAGTCTCTAGTATCTCAAGTTTTTCGATAAATAAGATGGACAGTTGGGAAATTGAGTGGGAATAACATCTCGTTTGAGCCTAGGAATTTTCAAATCTATTGTTACAGTTTTGCCAGTTTTTGAATCGGTTGCAGTAGATGTAGATGAAGTAATAATATCATCTTTAGTAAAATGTAATTCACATACTTTACTGTACTTAGATGGAGTCGTAAAATTCTTGCGGTGAATTGCATGTACCCACTTTTTCGATAGTTCCTTGTCCAACGGGAAACTAAAAGCATGAACTTTTGGACCACCCACATCATTCCCCCGACAAAAGGGAACACAACACTTGTGAGGCATTGTTATTTCGCCTATCACAACACGAAATATTTCACAAAACAGTAATTTCTCCGCCAATTATTTTGATGAATAAACAACAAGAGAATTCGAGCTCACGCGATTTACCTACGCCACCGTTCTTAAACAAAAACAGGCGATCGATCGACGCGAATGCCTTGGAAAATGGCCTGAGTATGCGACGTCACGAGCTGTTTACGTCAGAGCCTGCTGGCCTTGTTTTATCGGTGGTAACGGCTCTTGTCACAATTCAAGGTGTGTAACTTAATGAATCTAAACATTCAAAAACACTAACAGTTGACATTTCTGTGTCCGAACTCTTAATACCATCCAGTGACTCTAGTTTTACCAAGTTCTCGATGAATATCGCAAACGAATGGTTACTTTGGCACGGAAAGGAGAAAATGGGCTGCAAACTCTTTCACAACACAAGACCTATATTGACAACAGCTATATTATAATTAATTCTACTGTCACTCTCTGCGCTGTCCAATGATTATCATTAGAGTCACTGGATAGTATTAGTAGATAAGAGTTCGGGCACAGCTGAACTTCTGTCCTTTTTTATTTTCTATATTACAATGGTTTGACTGAATAAAAGAATTAGACATATTTTCTGCTCTTTTCAATTTCCCTAATATCGCCTGATTGTCAGATACGATTTTAGAGGTTAGATTTTCTGTCAAATCAATCACAGCTGTAGATGGAGAATAGAAATAGAGTGTAAAAACCCACTTCAATTTATAGCGATGAAGAGAATGCATGTAACATTTTAATGACAAAATAGACACATAATATGGATATACTTATAGCTAGTTTGGTCGGTTTGATTTCCTCAGTTTCGTTCCCAAATTTTCAATTTGATCATATAGTTTTGCAATCAATTCCGAACTCTTATCTAACTAATACCATCTAGTGACTTTAATTATCATCAGTTTCGTTCCTGACACAGAGCGTTCTGTCCACTGCACTACTCTGTGATGTTACATGCTGAGAATTTGTACAGAGCTTTTTTTAGGGAGACCCTGTACAATTATTACTATAAAAACTATTATCAGTTAACATGCCTACCTTTGCCTTTTCCTAATGATCCAATGTTTTTTGCTCGCATCGGTACTTCGTCATATTCATAAGTTTTGGGATTATATAACTCTGTGAAATAGAATCTGAAGGGTCCTTCCTTGGACCAGTCACTAGGCGATTTCAAATTATCACCGAAAGATAAATAACACTTCCCCACAATACTATCGAATGAAACCAATATCACTAAAAAAAAAACAATGGTCAAAGGGCAATTTTTTTTTTGGTAGAAAATTCACCTTCATTTGTATAATACAAGAGGTTCAAATCGTTGGTATGCGCTGAAACTACAGAGCCGATGGTGTTTTCCGGGCGGAAAAATATCCTGACTTTGATTTTCATTTCGTTTTTTTGCTTGACTAAATCTTCTATTACTCCTATTGTGAACGGATCTGATGTGTCGTTATTTGAACCTTTTATACTGTCTGCTTTTTTCCTGTAGAATTCTGGATATAATATTTCATCAACTCGTTTCTAAAATAACCACAAGTAGGGAAATCTCATCTAGTTGGGAATGTATTATCGATACTTACGATCTCAGTGGATTCTTCTTCTTTGAAATTCAAGAAAGCATAGACATCAGGCTCAAGAAAAACAGCAGTGTTAACTTTATATTTCTCATTTCTCCATTCAATATGATTTTCGGCAAAGATGGGTGCATTATATTTTTTTTGTTCAGACTTTCGCCTGAAATCAAGGTTCAATTATATTCTCGCGGTTTTTATAAAATGAAAATTATTTAGTTCACTACACAATATTCATTATCTATGAGGATAAACATACAGTATTTTCAGAATTGAAGCAATAAATGAAATTGGGTCTTGTCTGAGAAATAATTCGCACAAAAAAGCTTTAGAATTTGAACTGAAAAATGTGTGCTCTAACTATTATGAACGCTTTTCATAGCATTTCTAGCTAATAAGCGCCATATTATAATCATTTATCTCATCCTCGTCGTCAAATTGTGAATATAATTATAATATAACTAGCTTTTGCCCGCGGCTTTGCTCGCGTTGAAGCCCTTGAATAAATATCAAAGATCGCATATTAGTTTCAACTGTTTAGATTTTTTCAATTCCGGTTATTTTTTCCTAACTTATAAGAATATTTTTGTATACTATGTCGAGTTTTTCCGTCCGGTGCAAAAATGTGTGAATTTCGGGCATTAGATAAACGAGAACAGGCTACATACAGGGTATGTCTAGACGAGCTTACACTATCTCTATATCGAGAATCAGTCGGGAGAAATCCATGAAAATATGCATGCTTATATTTTAGAATACGCTCTCTTTATTTAACATTGTGTCAGCAATGCAGTGTTGCCGCTACTATCAAAAAGTATCAACAACTCTGATATGACATATCAACTTTCGATTTTCAGACGGAACACCTTGTCGTATTTCATTGCATTCTCAGATTCTCCCTGAAAAGCTGATTTCATCAATATGCATCACACTTGGGGTCTATCGGAAATGATTACAGAGATATAGAGTGTTCAAAATCGATATTTTTCAACTTCACGTTAAGTTTCAACAGTACGTTAAGACAGCAGTTCCCTCTATTTTTCCATAACCAAGTAATCTTTTTCCTAATACATCATTAAAAACAGATCCTGATAAAAGACGTCAGAAATCTTTAGCCGTGTTTAGCTGTTCAAAATAAAAAATAGTTGATTCTCAAAAATCCGACCTTATTCTCCATTACGAGCAGGTAGTTAGAGAATATGCAGAAAAATTGAAAATTAATACTTTTGAGAATTGGAACGTTCATGAGACAGAAAGTACAATTTATTTTTATCAATTATGTTCACAGTCAGATGTATTGAAAATAACTTCCTAAGTTGTACTATTGAATGAGATGCAGGTCCAATTTCTACTAGGTTATAATAAGTTGGGATTCAACGATTTAAAATGGGTTCCTCCCTTTGATATGAAATTGAGTAAGTGGTCACAACTTCAGAATATTCTAGCAAGATACAGAAATAGCTCAGATCACACAGAGACTAATCAGACCAAAGAACGTAAAATTAGCTCATTTGATGACTTAATAGAGAAAAGTTCGATATATATGAAAAAAGTACTCATAGTATCTTTTCAAAATAGCTTACCTCATTCTAAAAACCTTGAAATTTTGATTGATCAATTGAAACAAGTATACACATTAAAAAAATAGATATTCTTCTTCTACAATAATTTCATGTTATACACTACATCTCATTCTGTGTATGAACTCGGCTTTGAGATCCATAACCAATACAAATAAGATCTTGCCTCGCAATTTGTGAACTTGAACGGTTGATGTAAAATGGGACTTGTCAGTTGTTGATTTTATCCAAGAAACTGACCCATTATTTCTTGATAGTTTTTTCATTGAAGTTCAATTATTCATTTCAAATACAGAAATTGATGTTACGTTAGCGCGGTTAGCGGAAACGTACCAGTGTTTGCCTATGTCGCCGTGGTAGCCAGTCGAGAGTAGACCTTCCGAATCACGGTCATGCGGTGTTTTTCTCACCACGGCATGTTATAGAGCCGGCTGTGATTCAGGGAAATCTTTAGGGCCGGTTTATAAATCGTCAGTCAACTTTGCTAGGTAACTAACAGTCAACTGTGACTTTTAGTTAAAGCGTTTGTCAAATCAAGTGTTTATCCACTAGATCTTTAGCTGATAGTTCCCTAGCTCACAGCTACCAATACTTTTTGAAGAGTTGGTTATCCTGGTTGTTTCAGTACTTGGTGGTGGTTGGATAATTTCAATTTACCCACGTATTGTGTAACCTAGGGTCCCTTGATGGAAATTGACGTTAAAGTCATCTTAACAGGGTATGGACAGATCATTGCTGCATCCTTCTTTATTGATCTAGAGATTTTAGTTTTGTCTACTGGCATCCCTGACATTGCTGTCACGTCAGATCCATGGGCGCTACAGAAAATCATTCAACATTTTAATAATAAGTATGTACAGGGAATTCACCTACTTGTTGAGGAAGATCATATGGCGAACAAGTTTTGTAATTATGATCCGATTCTATTCAAAATTGTATGGTATGTAGGGTTTTCCGGGGTTGGAGATGATGATTGTTTCCTCAAACTTGGAAAATTCAAGATGAGGGATCCAATATATACCAAAAGAAATTTCTAATTATGATCTGATTCTATTTAAGATTGGTATCTGAGGGTTCTCGTGGTCGAACTTTATGATTTTTTGTCAAAACTGGGGAATTAAAGATAGCGGGTCTAATGTGGCGAACGAAACTTGTATTTATGATCCGATTCTATTCAAGGAATCAAAATTGTTATCTGGGGATTTTCGGGGTCGGAGATTATAATAATTTCATCAGAATTGGGATATTAATGATGGCGGATCCAATATGGCGAAAGACATTAGTTGATATAATTATTACTCTACCACAAATAGAAAATATGTAGGATGCAAGAGTGGAAATAACGTGCCTATAATAATTTATATATACTGCGTATACTTAGCGTATACCTACTTGTTTGTTACTTTCACCAATAAATTATTCGAAAATGACTTTTTATTCAAAAGAGACGAAAAAATCTTATTTATAACATGGAAGGGGAGTATATTCTATTCTTTATTTTTCTGCACATTTTACGTATTAATTTTTATCAGCCTACTTTTCGTCCTAGTCGAAGTTTTATACATAGTGTGATATTAGTAACTCCATAAATTCTTCTCCGAGTTGGATTTCTGAAAATATATTTAGCACACATGACATGAGTACAGTAGTCTAGATAACCACATAGAGGTTTCCACCATTTCTCAATAATAAGGCTCAGCTCATTCAGCTCATCGATAAACTACTGCTCAACTTGAGATCAGAATTGATTTAGTCAATTCAGTCAACTCTGGTATACAGTCTAAGAACAGTCTCTCTTGGTGAAATATATTGAGCTTTCAGTACAATTTATATGTTCCCTAAATCGCAAAGATTATGCTGGAGTAGTGAACTCAAAAACTTGAGGATTGTTTGTATATATCTTGGTATAGTTGAATCAGGAATTCCATATGGAAATTACGTATGATACGCCAGTGACCTCAATATATCCTAAAAAACAACGAATGTCAAAAATCTAGTGTTTATCCCCAGAATTGAATAAGGATGGAACTATATAACTGTTTCACAAACACTTTAGAGTGAGAGGAGACGAGGATCTGTCCGTACCCTGTTAAGATGACAAATACGTCAATTTCCATCAAGGGACCCTAGTGTAACCTAACCACAAAAATTCAGAAATATCTGACAAATTAGTTGAAAGTCTGATTTCATTGAGATTTGAAATTTGTTCATATTTGTCATGTAGAAAAAGAACAGAATAGTGAATTTTTCGGCGTCGGATAGGGACTCTTGTTGAAAATCACCAATAACAAGAATGAATATCCTGGAAAATGAATAAAACAGATGCCTCTACATGGAAACAAGAAGAAAAGCGAACTCGTAGATTTCAGAGATTTGTTGAAATGGAAATGAAACTCAAAGTCTCGAAAGGCAACGTCAACATTGTCAAGAATGACAACTGCCAATGGAAAAATCCGTTTGCTCTGCTCCTTAATAAGGGGCGAACATTACATCTTTTTGCTTTTCTCACTATAAGCATCTTCCACTGGACTGAAATTGTGCACACTGCGTATATTCCTTTTTAAACATGTCATGAACAAAGACAAAATCATCAAGAGTGGAAAAGCTAGCAGAAATCGAGCTAAAACAGATATGTAAAAACCGAGCGCACCTTTTTAAAACATTTCGGAATTGGTTTGTGTTGATCATGATGTTAAAATAAATATAAGCAAAAATGTCCGACTGTGCAGTTTGATATAGAGTATAGAGTTTCAAGTTTCACAGTAACAGCGATATAGCTAAACAGCCAACTGACGGTTGTCTGCAGTACGATAAAATTAATTTTGCATCTGGTAGAATATTCATCAATGACTTCTCTTTCTAATATAACTCGAAAAAAACCTTCAACTGATTTATCAATTTTCCCTTGCTCTCTAGCTAATACTAATCCCATCGGACAACCTGACCATTTTCAGGAGTTCCTTCGGCAATCTTCTTTCATATTCCACGTAAACAAGCCTAGACGATGTGGGGCCTTCCGAGAACAGCGGCGCAAGTCTATTCCGCAAATAATAATCTGATTCTGATTGAAATAAGAATCTGCTCGTATTTTCATTCGATGAGTCGAATCAATAATTGAATTCAGTGGTCAAGATATAATTGAATCACGTCTCCAGAAAAAAATTGTATTTGTCACACAAACATACCTGCATGAATAACATTCTCCAGTCCAGTTTTCGACATCGAAATCAACATCAACAAATCTGTTTTCGTCGAACCTTTTACTGTAAAAAAACGTTTTGCCATCATCTTCGTTAGTTTCTTCTAGATTCAAGTCCCCACCAACACTTGACCAATTCTCAGGAACTTTCCTATATTCCACCTGAAATTAAATTCCACCACATCATTACTGCGATTCCCTAGCAAAATGAGGTTATACACACTAGAGTCACTGGATGTTATTAGTTTGATAAGAGTTCGGACACAGAAATGACAACGGTTAGGGTTTTTGAATGTTTAGATTTATCAAGTTACACACCTTGCATTGTGACAAGAGCATCATAGTCGTCCCGCGATTTTTCATTCAAAATTGTTTGAATTTGACAATTCATTCTATAAACGTCAGAATTGAAATAAAATTTCATAATTATTATACTTTCGAGATAAAAGCAGCTATGGAAATCTCTTGCTGTATAATAAATTGTGCCAATTATGAAACAAATGGATATCATTTATTCGATTTTCCAAATCAAATATCAAGCATTCGCTTATGAAAGGAAGATATGAAACGGCCTGGGTGGAAAATCAATTTGAAGACGAGCGGAATTTGTGAGGTAGGTACTCATTGAAATTCACTTCTTATAACAGCATCTGATTAGAATGAATCTATATTTTAGGCCCATTTTCAAACAGAAGATTTCAAAATCTGTTTGAGAGAATCTGCTGTTCCATCAATTTACAAAGCAAACGATTTCAAGAACAAAATTCCATTATTATCATCACACAAAATACAGAACAAAATAATCATGGAAAAAGGGGAAATGATCGCAAAATTACATTATGAAATTGAAAATTTGGAAACGAAACTCAGAAAAGCAAGTAGGTAAACTACAACGTGATATATTATTGAATGGTGTTTTTGGTGCTGACCGCGAATTGAAAATTCAACAGTGAAGAGTGAATAGATATTTATGTATCAAGGGAATTATTATAAGGGCATTAATTACGCTGGAGGTTATCGTTTTGGAAATATTTTCTATATCGATCCATGTTACTTAGCTCCTAGGGCGCTAAGTGAAGTTGCTGAGAACTTAACAACAAAACCAAGAATTTGGTAGGTCTCGTCAAAATAAATCATTTTTTCCCATGAAATCTTTATCGAAAAATGATTTGTTCTCTGTATTTCAACACCCTGTGTCTCCGAAATGAAGCATTTCCAGACACACGCTTATATAGACTTTATTTCTTAAAATTGTCTCAGGAATACTTCACTGTAGTACAGTTTCACATACAGTAAGGAATTATAGCTATAAGTTTATCCATATGTATATATTCTCTGATATTAAAATGTTGTTACATGAATTTTTTTCATTTATATAAATGTTGCTCTGCTAGAAGTTTACGTATCACTATGAATTGAAGTGGGTGTTTGTACCCTATATCCATTGTCCATCTACTGCTATGATTGATTTGACAGAAAATATAACCTCTAAAATCGTATCTGACAATCAGGCGCTACTAGGGAAATTGAAAAGACAAAGAGCAGAATATATGTCTTATTCTTTTATTCACTTAAACCATTGTATTATAGAAAATAGAAAAGGACAAAAGTTCAGCTGTGTCCGAACTCTTATCAAACTAATACCATTCAGTGACTCTAATACACACTAGTCAAATTTACGCCACAAACCTATTTAATATTGATCGTTCCGTGTTAAATAGTCTTTGATGCAATCAGTCGTTAGTTGAAATCATCGCAAATATATTTTTTTCGATAATGAAACTCGGACCTTTGAAAAACGCCAGCTTCGATGACGTCATGAACCAAACCGAGAAACATCGATATGTGAAATCTGGCTATAGCATCATAAAAAGTTGGACCACATATTTCGACGCTGCCAGAATTGAATCTGGTAATTACCTTATGTGATTCAATATGACCTATGACAACAGTATTCACATTCACAAAAGGCGACAGTTCGACCTGGTCCGTAATAATCACTTATTGAATACTTATATACTTGCAAGATGGTTCAGTACCAATAAAAATATCCTAGAATTCCTAATAATGATTTGAGATTCTATTTAAACCCGAATTATTTTGTGGCCCTGGCAACAGCGTGATGCCTAGAGTTCCCAGAAATACAAGAATAGAAGAAGACAAACTACATTGTCAACCTAACTACCTAACATCAATATCGTCTGTTACCTTCATCTTCAAATCCTTGTTTTATCTAGTCAAGATGCGAATATTCAGAGATATTGCTCTTATTATCTGATTCTTCAGTTGTGTGTTGTGTTCTCTATTATCTGCAGTAAGTATTTAGTCCAGAAAATTCACTAGAGTCTAGGGCGAGCAGCTTCTGAGGAGGCGAACTTTTTTCATATTTTGATTGTGGAAGAAATATTCTTGCACTTGTCTTACAGACAAGGAGAGTAAATACGTATGTTGAATGTTTTCAAATGATTACGTCACGCCTTTTTCCGCGTTTTTCAGATTACGAAATAATTTAAATTCCAATAATTATCTAAAAATTGGAGAAAAACGGTTTGCGGCAGTGAACTAGTTGAAGTTAGTACATATAGCGTATTCGACTGGCTGCACTATTGTGCATTCAATTCCAACTTTGTGTTCGGCTGGTATGCACTCAGACAGTACCAATATTATTTCTATTCGGCTGAACAGGCACTACGCAAGGGTAGAGCAGAATGTATGTCCGACTGGTTAAAGCGCTCGTTGTTAATTCGGATGTTTTCGCACAATAATTTTTGACGATGCCAAAGACACGGGCTGAAAAATGTTGAAAGATATTGGGTGTTTATTCACATTGTTATGTTCAGATTTCGAAATGAATTTAATAAAACTATTAGCAATTGATTCCCTATTGTCGAGCAACAGTGATAGTACATATAAGTCGATAGCAATAATGTTATTGCAATTTCTGGGTATCACTAATTTTCTACTTTCCTGTATCACCCTACTTCTATTTTGAATTCAAAATCGAAGTAGGGTGATACAAGAAAGTAGAAAATTAGTGATACCCATAAATTGCAATAAAATATTGGAATACGAGGTATTTGCATGTAGTAAATAACAAAATTGCATTATAGGTACCTACTATTCACCATCAACACCTCAGATTATTCACAAAATATCTCTATACTTATTATGCCGCAAATAATTATTCTTCTCTCCATACTTTGAAACTTAAGGAATAATTTGACAATTTGTCAACTTTGAAGTAAGATATTTGATTAGATCTAGCCTAATCCTGCCTTAGGATCCAACAGCACGTTGTCCTAAACATACCAGTCGAATATTCATAATATCAATATCAACTTCATCTATACAGTGCCAGAATAGTTCGCATTATCTACATGCATCTGCTCTAAATGGGTTCAAACTGAACAGTTCAGTGCTAAATACGCATTTTTAACGTGTCAGTGCAATCCAGTGGAATGACATTTACCTCTGCATTTCGAACAATACTTCCAAGCGGCAAATCCTCACAATCGTCCACTACAAACAACTCTCTGGGATCGGCAGTTTCTCCTAAGACGGTGTCAGTGCCACGGCAAAATAAATGACCATGAAACATGAATCTTTGGGGCAGCTGATCATACATGTGAATGATTTGGGTCACGCAAAGTGGCTCATTGGGGTTTTCCGACTTGAGCATCACATAGTCTCCAGGCTTTACAGTTATATCACCTGAAAATACGAATAAATCACATATACAGGGTGACATCAAAATAAATACATTAAATTCAAACACTAAGTAGGCTCAAGGTATACTATCGAATGTCACCATTGAAAAAAATATAGCGGTCAAAATAAGATTTGGGTAAGACCCCCTTTTCCGCCCAAAATTCTACTCATCGAGAGCTAGTCGCTCATGGAAGGCATATCGTAGGAAGATAATAGCGGATAACAAAGCGATGTTGCCAACAGTTCATTATCGTTTGACAGCAAAAAATGGATGTTTGTCAGATCTGAGATAGGTAAATAATGTTTTGAATTGGATCTTCTGACTAATATTCTAGACTAGATGAAAGTAATAAGATACCACAGTTTGAGGGATCTTAGTAGATACCAGTTAACTCACTTGCCTGAATGTGCCGATCTCCCTACCCTGGCGTATACATAGTGGCTCTCGCTATCGATAGACACGGTTGTCCCCTATTTGTAGTGGATGCGCCAGAAAAGTGTTTGATATCGGCAATTATATGCCTTATGTATATTGTGCAGTGAGAAATTGCCCATCAAGACGTAGATGTGGTGTATACTTGTTTCGTTTTCAATACACAATATTATCACAAGACATTTTCATTCGAAATTTGATATTATTCTTACATATATACTTCTGAAATTTCAAATATTTGAGAAATGATAATTTGTTTTTTGAAGAATATCATAAAATTGATAATTGAAACTTGATAAAATTTTCCGGTTTATGATAATTTTAGATTGCATGACATCTGTAAAAACTTCACAATGTACCAGTATATCACTTGACGAAGCTACTGTGTTAGCGAAACATGTCGTGTGTATAAAATTTTTGTGGAAATCTTATCGTTTGTGAAGTTTTTACATTTGTCATGAATTTCCATCAAGTAACGGCTGAGTCAATTCAAAAAATGCATGACATCTGTTAAAATTTTCACCGTTGGATTTAATTTTTTGTGCAACTGCCTTTTTTAATATTCAACAGCTGACAAAATATTGTAGGGACGTAATGCGGATACCATGTTGACTATATCTATTATCTTTACAGATTCCAGATTTGGATGGACCCATTAGGATTTACTGGAAGTTATGGATATGCTGATATTACTCCAGATCAATGCTACCAAAGGATTAAAATTTGTAACGAACAGTTTTCTGCAACCTCAAACCTTATAAAAGGTGGGCCAAAAGAAGTCATTCGATGTTGTTTGTCACTCATTTTTCTTCCAAATGAAAAGCTTCGATTCTGTTTATTGATTATTTTTATTTCAACCTTTAGAATTCTATTGGTCAAGTCGAGAAGATGATTTCGGCCAAATGGACGCCGCCACAATTGTTTGCATAGGGGCTAGTATGTCGCACTCGTGTCGAATGTTGTGCCTGGCGGCTTCCAGGGTCTCGGGCTTGTCCACGTAAACACGGAACTTCAAAAACAAACACCAAAAAGGTCTGGAACGGTTAAATCGGAAGATCTTGCGGGACAGTGCAAATCGCCAAAACGAGAGATGAGGCGATCCGGGAACGCCGTCTTCAGAATATCAGTTATGGCTCGCGCAGTGTGTGCCGTTGCTCCGCCCTGTTGGAACCACATGCCCTTCAGTCCTAATTCGTTCAATTGCAGCAGAAAAAACTCGGTTAATATGGCCCTATAGCGCGCATCGTCCACTGTTGTCGTTTGAACAGCGGCGCCGTCGAAAAAAATGGCCCGATGACTCCTCCAGAGTGAACAGCGCACCATTTAGTCACTTTGAGCGGGTGTAATGGCTCCTTGTGCATCACTCTTAGATTTTTGGTGCGGCAGAAGCGATAGTTCTGCTTTTCCACGTCCCCGCTGAGGTGGAAATGAGCCTCGTCGCTCATTATGATTTTGGTCGAAAAATCGTCCACGAGATTGAGAATGGCTTGGCTTGGATTATTCCGCGTTCTTGGGGAGTGTATCGCTCCATGGCTTGTTCACTTGTATTGTACATCTGTCTAGTTCACGAGTATCAAAACAGACATTGACTGCCATTTCCAAAAATAAGAGCTACTTCCAATAGGGTGATTTCTTTTGGCCCACCTAGTAGTAAGACAACATCAGGGGGGTTAGTTGTGCCCTTTAGAAATATCGTCGAATTTGTTGTAGCATTGGGAGATATTTTTATTCGTTAATTTGTGGAACTGGAAATATTGGAAGCACACAAAAAAAACGTTTCGCAAAAATAACTTAACTGGTACCTAACCAATAAGATTCCCTAAACTGTATTAGATACCAAGAAACAGAAGACATTTTTCTCAAACACCATTTAAAAAATTGAACATTCCACAACGTCAAATAGTTTTTGGAACAAATGTGATTTTGAACGTGTGTTAGAATATACAGGGTGAGTCAGTTTTTTGTAGCAGGACTTTAACAGCTGAGAGAAGTCATTCTTTCCAAGATGAAAATTCTATGTAAAGATGAATGCGTGGTAGCTTCGTTTCCGATATACAGGGTTTCGAAGTTTAAGATTTTTTTTGTGTTTTTCCAATTAATGTTTATCATGTCAAAAGATAGTGATAATTGTGCTTAAAAATATGTTTCTCGAAAATCGTTGATAGCTATATTGGTTTTTAAATTATAGTCATTTTTGTACACCTTTGTAAAAAAGTGGAATAAATCATGTTTAGGTACAATTCAACAACATTTTCCGTCGACCTCGTATCAACAAGTATGTTTAATGTTCATGAAATTAATCATTTAATGCATGATTGTAGTATAGGCAACCAAATATACACGGCGGCCTTCCACTGTTGGCACTATAACTTACGGAATCTGCATTTATATCGAAAATATGGACTTCATCAAAGATTTTACGTTAATAGGGAAGCCTTTCAACATTTCGGAACCGATTTTAATCTCTGTTTTCTAACAAAAGTAATTTATTTTCCATGTTGATTATTTCGACAAATGTCACTAATGAAAGTGACAGTGACACGTTGACTTTCAGGGCTACTGGGTCAACAGGGTGATTTTTAGTAGTTTCTGGATGAGTGATGAATTCGCATACCAAGTTTTCTTTATTTACTGCAGGAGAAATATAGTCGACGGAAAAAAGTTGTAACCAACTCGTATATTAATTAGGAGATTAATACAATAGATGGTTGAATAACTATCATTAAAAAAAGATAATCATAACTAGAACATAATTAACGTGACAGAAAGAAGTAATAGCAAAAAACTAGAGATATCTGGTGGGTCCTTCACAAACTCTAATAACCTCCCGACATCGTCGGGGCATACTGGATATCACATTGTCTATTCGTTCCTAAGGAATTAAACGCCATTCTTCCTGAATTGCATCAACCAATTCATCAATATTTCTAGGAGGTTAGCTTAGGTTACAAGTGAGTGGATCTATACAGCCCTCCACAGCGACGCGCAAGGGTCCATTGTGGCACCCACCAATTCATACTTCACCAATGTGATCCAGCTTCTTAATGAAGCCAATTAGTTTACTTGGTGATTGATCTTTCAGGTCCGAGGGCTAGAGTGAAACCCTGCCAAACAGCAAAAATCTTATTCGAGCAGCGGCGGGGCAGTCACAAAGTACATGCTCTACTGTTTCATCATCTTCAAGACAGAGACGGCATATCGGATCATCCAACAATCCAAGTTTTGACATGTGATAATTCAGACGACAGTGGCCAGTAAGAAGGCCTGTTAGAGAATGCAATCCCTGCTGTATATCAACATTTGTTTGGTAATATTCTTCGAAGGATGTATAAATGCCTTGGAATGAGCCAATCCAGGTAGATCTCGCCAGAAATCTGAAGCTCTTCTTGCAGTCCAGGTGTTCTGGTCCAATTAAACTACATGCGGCACCTCCCTTGCAAGGGAGTCTGTCGTTTTGTTACCCTCCATATACCTAAATACTAAATCTGTCGATTTGCAAGGCATACTGGTGGTTGTTCAATGGGAATGTGCATAAAGCGGCCCGCCTGATATATCTGTACAGCACCCTTTCAAGTCGTTTCAGCAGAAAGGATGTCATACAGAACATCTTTCAAACGTCGCTTCAAAGCACCCCATTTGTGTTCGATTGGATTACATTCCGGGAAGCGGGAGGGCAAACCTACTGTGTTAAATTGATGAATTTCGAAGAACTCTATTACTTCCCTATGTGGTCTTGCATTGTCGCTTACATAAATAAAATTGTTGCCCAGTCTGTTGGATACAACGGTGAATTATTCTCCAAAATCTCTATAACAGAAGGCGTGTACCGTGCGATTGTAATATCCTGGGATATAGAAAGAGAATGCAACACCTGGTACATCGATTTTATGATAATTATTATTAAATAAATTTGTTGAAGAATGAAATCAAGGATTTCCATAGCTAAACAATTCGAATTATCGACCCAATAAAATAATATAAAGATGCTAGTTCAGCAAAATTGTTGTTTAATTTTTGGTAGCTACGGCTGACGCAATGCTGCTACAAAAAATTGTCGAGATTGAAGAACGAAAAATAACTGGGATAGTCAGCGACCAGATTTTGGGAAAATCAGGTTGGTCCGGCGAAAGAATCGCGAAGTGGTCGCGTTAGGCAAAAAGTCATTTTAAGTATCAGGGTAGTTTCGTTCGAGTTGAATCCCCAGTTGTATGGTTCAATAACTCTCTAAAAGACATGAGAGATACTCTTTCAAGTGTTAAACTGATTGCTGATGTTTCTAGGGATCCAGCAAACATATCAGTTTATAAATCATTGAAAAAAGATTACCAGAATAAACTGAAAGATGCTAAAAAAGCAGCATATAATCAATACATCTTATCTACATCTAATACATCAAGAGCTAGTTGGAAGTTAGTAAACTTCGAATGCAATAGGAACACAAACAAAAAAGGTGACCCCAATTGTGACATTTCTGCAAATGATTTCAATAGTTTTTTCGTCAGTGTAGCAGAAACTCTGATTAAAACCATACCAGATTATGGAGATGCCATACTACTAAACTTCAAACATT